AATTGAATGAAACTTATAAGCAAAATGAAAAAGATGCACCAAAAATTTATATTACATTAATAAGGTATTTCAATTTTCGTTATGGTAAACTGACAGATGCTATAAAAGAGAAAGAAAACAATACAAAAGCAATGGACCAGTCCACTAAGAACTCTTTTTCTAGTAAGACCCAAGAAAAAATCATATTAAACAAACTTAAAGTCCCACCTAGATAGGTCCTTCTTCTTTCGGAAGGTAGTCCTCAACATAGTGGCCAATGTATTCTGAACAAAATCCTGGACCTCTGCATGAATTGTCTCCCATAAAGCATCAGCTACCAAAGTGTCGTTGCACTGCATCAGTGATCCAATGCTCTTTATGTAACCAACAAGTTCAACCAGTGCTTTCCTTTCCTCCGCACTATAGTTATATCGTACCACCTATGAGAGATTTCACAATAGTTGCGATCCACAATTAGGCAGACAAGAACTGAATCGATAAACTTAAGACATGCACATATAAGTTAGATATGTATGTTAACATTAGCCTTTTAGGTCATTAACGTTTCTTCCATGTATAACCTAAACGGCAATTTCAAAATTGAGTAAACAGAACCAAGCATTAAATTATTATGTGCATGGAGATCCAGGCTCCAACCCAATTTTCAAAGCCTACCTCAAGCTAAATGGGACCTCGAAAAAAGATTTACATCATCGACCACATTCTTTAGTAATGTGTTGTTACCATAGGATGGACTACCAATCCTCGATTCATTATTTACGTGCTATGCCTTTTTTTTCCACAGGTTTTAAATTTCTTAATCACACTAGCATCTTGTACCGAAATCTTAAAAATATTTACAAATTATTGAGTCTGGGATCAACAGATGCAATTACAACATTTCAGATATGGGATACAATACCTTTTCATAGTCAGAAAATGATGCTAAAGCCTCTTGTGTTTCAGAAGGAACTATATCCTTGCAGGGACGAGAAAACTTCCATGCACATTGTTCCCAAATGCGTGCAGTCCATCTACTCAACAGCTGAAAACCTTCAACAACCATATCATATATGTTTCCCTTCACTTCTTTGCACCAATCAATATCAGGATTGTCTGTTGCCTTCAACAACAATAACTACATAAAGCAGAAGGAGCAACTTCAGAAAATTACATAAGAGGGCCGAAAAGAATTCATATTCATAATACAGGTTTACTTTTATTTTGTGGAGATGAAGGACTGAGGAGTAGAAGGAAGAGACCTGATTCATGGAGGAAGAAAAACGAATTACAAAGTCATCATGCTCCGCACGGATGGATCCAATGTGATTGATGATTAGATAATGTCTCTGATAAGTATAACATGTCAAGGCCTCACTGAATAGATGCAACAACAACGAGATTTTGTGCAAATCTCAAAGACACTAAACAAGACAAAACTATTAAGTTGCAGTCAGATTCGGTAACTAAGCAAATACCCATGTGACCAATAAAAGATAATCAGAGTACTAGGAGACTTCTATAACAATGTAAGAGTTGAGTCAGCAGTCTAATGTTCCATCTAGCTGTGGCAAAAAACACAAGCTTTAGAAAAGTGGATTCACTTGCATTAATGAAAATAATTTTTCTTATACAACTGAGTGATGCTAAATTCCCAATATAAAAACACAATTTTACTTTCAATAAATAATGAAAAAAAAAATCAAAGGATATTCTTGTGCCTCACGGGATGGAAGCTCATGAGGTGAGGGAAGACTAAGAAGACGAGTTTGGGTGGAAAACTTCTGGAAGTATATTGACAATTCTTTCATGATTGCAACAGGAGAAAGATGAAGATCTGGAAATGCAGGAATTACTGGATCATTCTGGAAGACAAATAACAAAGAAACAAATAGAAGCCTTTAGGTGAGAGTGCAGATAACTTTTTAATTTCGGAACTTTGAAAATCATTACAACTATATATTACCTTAAATATATTGATCAGTCTGTTGATTTTCACTCTCTTGTACAAAGACTCGCTATCCTTTTCCGATGATGTTGCTAAAACAACAAGAATTGGCAAAACACGTAGAAGAATATGCCGCTCTGGGAACAAAAGTGCAAAATCCAGCTCTAATGACTCAACAGCAAAGACTATGAGAACTTGAAGGATGTCTTCTACACTATATTGTGTCAAGGAACTCATAGCACACTGTATCACCAATTGCAAATGTAACAATTTGACAATAACAAGAAAAGGCAGATCACTATAATTTTTGGACAAGGTGAATAAAATCAGTAGCTCCAATTAAGTGAAAAGAGTAGAGTTGAAAGTATCAAAATAAGTCGTCATTTCTTCTACTCATTTCATATAGAATTGTAATGTCTGACAAAATGCGTCCAATGACTCCGGTACACAGGATACTTGTTCACGCGGAACATCTCCACATGCAAATTCAATAAGATAGCCCACCTTGTGCTAAGGAAAATCTGCAGCAACATATACAGTGATATTACGCATCCATCTAAATCTGCATATCATGAAGCTAGTGAAGGAGACCACAGTCACACCTGTAAGTCATCTAGCTCCTCTCTCATCGTATCAGTATCATGCCACTGTACACTTACTTGTGTGAATGTCCTGAAAAACTCACAGTAAGCCAAATAAGAGAACTAATCATGGATTACATGCCATGTCAAAGGTACAGTAAAAAAAGATATAGAATGGTAATAATTGTCTTACCTTTTATACCAAGAGAAATCATTCGGTATGCTTGCTTTGGCATTTTTGAGATGATCAAGTTGCACCAGAGTGTCAAGTAACTTCAACATGGACCTAGACCATGAACAAATTAGTGGGACCCATATTGACACACATCAAAACTAAAGAAAGAAAATGTTTCGGAAATGTTATTGCATACCAGAGATGAGTTACTGTGGGGCCATTAATGCGTCGCTCAGGCCTAGAAAACCGTTGCATATCTGCAGCTAGCTGTACAAAAACATCCATGCCACAGTGAAATTTCAAATCAAGGATAACAAACAAAGTGTGTAAATTGAGGTTTGAAAAAGCTAATACCTTTGCGGCAGCTGATGCTTGCCATCGTTGTATTTCACGCAAACGGCTCATTTCCAAGTCCAAAACTTGATATGTTTCTAGATACAAGTCAGCTTGACTTTGTTTCATATTATCAGGAAGCTGCCACAAAAGATACATACACACACGTTAGAGACAAGTCAGCTCAAACATTTATAAAGATTTTCCGAAACAATGCTAGCTTGTATCAGTGACGACTTGAAGGAAGAGCTTAACCTGAGGAAGTGCTTTGACACAACTGCGATATGTATAAAGCACTGATCCCATCTCCTTTCCCTCTTGAATAAGAGCATTCTGCATAAGTTGCAATTTTTATCGAAAACACAATCAAAGACAACATTCAGATGCATCCGAAAATGAGTACAAAAATGCTTCTTTGTGTCTACATTTACACCGAAAATCGATTCAAAGACAAAAATAGCAACAAATAAGTATGTACCAGCTGATTGAGAGCTTTTGTGTCTTCTGTCAACGATAGGCGATAAGCGGAAACATCGCTATACTCTACAAAATGTAAATAACAACAATTAAACTTCAAGACAGTTGCTTTAATTGGAAAAAAAAAGTTAAATATAGTTCATAATATCAACCACTTCACTCAAGACTTCCAAATCAACACCAAAAACAATTCCAATTCCAACAAAAGAAACGAAAAACGCACCGATGGGACTATCCGTTGCGCCGCTATCAGTCGAAACCCAAATTCCCGGTCCTTGAACCTCTGCTTGTTCATCCTACATTCAACCAAAATTAAATAAAATTATAAATAAAAAAAATCAGAATAAACACAATTAAATCAAATTAATGTGAATTCAACCAAAATTAAAGCCATTTTTCGGACCTCGAGTGAGAAGGTGGATAGAGCGGCAATAGCTTCTTCAACAGGAACAGCCATGGCTGAAGTCTCTCCTACAGTAAGATCTGAGTAAAAACTGAAGCTTTCAGGGTAGAAGCTTTAGATTAGAAAGGAAAGCAGCATCGTCGCATTCTGCTTTGAGTTTAAGCAGCTTTTTTGGCCAGCGCTTTTGACTGACGGAGTTTGCGGGTGAGTGCTTTTTTTTTTTTTTAGGTGGGAAGGAAGGAGATCGCGAGCGAGCCGTTTCCGCTGTGTGTGGGTCTGAAGGCGGTTGTTATCAGTGCCTGACTAAACGACTGAGCGGAGTGGGTACACACAACTCCATTAGGACAAATATGTCCTTAACTGCAAAAGGACTAATTAGCAATTTTGGAGTACTTTCGAAAAAGAAAGACATCCTTGGGATCAATTCATGAATAAGGATAAATATAACGGAATTGGATCCGCTCTGGACCTTAGTGTCCGGAGCCTAAAGATAAATTCATCTGGGCTGCTGATTGGTGTGTAAAAGAAATCAGAGCAGTTGGTTTTGTGTGGTGGGCTAGGAAAATGAGTTAATGAGAACCATTGGATTGAATTTGTGCAGTCCAGATGAATTGATCCCTAGGCTTCGGACACTAAGGTCCGGAGCGGATCCAATTCCAAATATAACGTCGTGTTTACCCTTCTACATGACTAAAATACGAGAGTAAAATGTAGAGAAAATTGTACAAAATGGTTCCTCAATTTAAACTTAATTGGAGCAATGGTCTTTCAACTAAAAATTTAAGATTATTGGTCTCTTAACTCCTTGAAAAGTGCAGTTATGATCATTTTGTCAACTGTTAGAATTCCGTCAAATGAGTCATGTTTGAATCACCATTCTTATTAAATAAACTTAACCCATTTTCATGAAAAATAAAGTTATAGAATAATTTTTCGTTAAAGCAAACTTAGACCAAACTCTTTTCATTAAAAGACTCTTTTATTAACTTAATTTTTCATCAAAAAATGATTTCCACACTCCGGTTCTAACACAAGTTCCTTTACTCCGGGGACGGGTCCCGGCCGGCTCATTAAATAACATAATGGCTGCATTAGATTGTGTTCTCTCTTTGAAGTTACATTTTCATTGGCTTGCTTTAAGATCAAGCATCAATCATATGTCTTATGCACCAAGACAACTGAATTTGACTGCCTTTTAAGCTAACAGTCAATGAGTACAGAAAATAATTACTACCATTACTGAAATAGGGAAACCCCAAGCTAACAAGGCTTCCTGCTTATTGAGAGTCGGAAATGGAATATCTGTCGTACGTAGTTGTACCCTTGTTGTCTTACGTACTCTTACTTTATAAAGAGATTGTTTCCACAACTCTAACTCGTAACTTTTCTGTCGCAAAACAGCAACTTTTCCGTTGCACCAAGGCTCGCTGTCAATTACTTACACTGCTAAGTGGGCAAAATTTAGGTTTAATTACACAGCAAGGGAGAACTGTAACAAATTCTAACCCTTGTATTGCAACTACCTTTGACAGTACAATCAGGTCGTCCGCTTAGCAGAAATCACCCGGTCCAATGTCTCGAATGGGACTGTGATTCCAGTCGTCACCATGTCTGCAACAATTGCAACGGCTGCATCTAGCTCCCCGAGGTCAAGACACAGTGAGATGATTTCATCGTAAAGGGGACTGCAACGGAAGAGAAGAAAAAATGATGTAAACAAGACCTCCAAAATGTAGAATCAAATCTCTCTGGCAAGCGATAATTTGTGTGGATGAACGTGTTTTAGATCATGAACGTGAACACCTACATCATCTCCAGTTTCTGTTTTGTTTTCAGTTTTCTCATACTCAACTTTCTAAGCATGGTCTCACCTGCCGAATACATAACCAAGACTATGCGTAGTCTGTAAGATCTTCAAGAAAGCTGACGGCAGAGGAGCCCTTCCTGGTTACTGCCGCACGCAAAATCACGGCACAATCCGCAATTGTGGGTACTTCTCATCATCATCATCATCATCCTCATCATCATCATCATCATCTTCGTCGTCGTCATCATCAGCTTCAGCTTCGTCATTTTCCACATCTTATGCAACATCAACGGTGACACTATCCGAAACATCTTCAGCCTTTTCTTGATCAGTACCGAAGCCTACTCCCATGAAACGACGCTTCCAGAACTCTGTATTTCCTTTTTCTAGCTTGACACATGAGAGCAGTTCATCAAGCTCTTCAGCAACCTGTAAGACGAAACACATTCAGATTTGATCAGTATAGAGTGAAGTTCCAAGTGCAGCCAAAATGGGGAAGCATTGCTTGCAGAGCTATGCAACCCCCCCGACATAAGGAGCAGGTGTCCTTGCTTTTTGGACACGCTGGTAGAGAACATTTCTGGTTGGCAAATCCAAAATAATTGGGGACACCAAAATTATTAGGGTAATATATTTATATATGTTTTCATTAGAGTATAAATTTACAAAATTTGGTTCAATGGCAAAGAAATTTAACTAGAACTGATGGTTTTGTTGTTTGAAATTAATTTAGCTAGTAATTATGTGGGTTGTTATTTTTAAATATTTGGTGCTTATTTACTTTTCAATTTTTACAAATTTCTTTTCATAAGAGTATAAATATATAAATTTTGGCTAAATGATCAAGAAATTTAATTAGAATCATTGGGTTTTTATGTTTAAAATTAACGAGAGGTCTTAAATTCGAAATTCTAAGTGCATGTTTATTCTTTTCAATTTTTACGAATTTTTGTTTGGTTGTTAATTTATTTCTAATTAGTAGCTAGTTGTTATGTGAGTTGTTATTTTTAAACATTTGTTCCAATTCAAGTATAATCTTCAACGAAAAGTAATGCATTGACCAAATTTTCAGACCAAATTTGCAAATTATATAACGTGTCATCAAAAAGTTTAATTTAGTACCCATTTATTACATATATATATCAATTAAACACTCAAAAACATCATTATTTTTTTAGTCCCGTATTGACAAGATTAGTAAATAAGAAAAAACACCTCACAATTTACACAAAAACACTTTAAAAGTTCAGATGGAAAATAAAACTCATATTTATCTACTTGTAAACCAGGAGTTTTTTTGTTTCCTTCTCACAATACAAAATAAATTAGTTTTTCTGTGTTTCTGAATTATCTAGTTTGAAGTGTTTTTATAAGTATAATTTTATCGATGTCTTATATGTGAAAACAAATATTTTTCTTATATAAAATGAGGGCACATTTTTTTTGCATCGCCTCGTACCTCAAAAATCTCTAGACTGGCCTGAAGCCCACCCTCTGCAATGCACCTGATTAATGGACAAATACTACAACAATTAACACCACCTGTGTTAACTTGATATACATGCACCAAGAATTTAAGCTTTGGGAGTCCGGTATGAGTCAAGCTTGGTTCTGTTATACAAAAAAGGGACCATATTCATCTATATTATTTATCTGTGTTCCCTTCTAAAGTGCAAAATTCAAATTAACACTTGCGCATAATAACCGTTGTAACTATTACCACATATGGAGCCACCCACCGGGCCATGCAATCTATCTCATGTCCAGTTCAGCTTGTGTGTGGGCATATACTAATAATAGTTAAGCAATGACTTAAATTTGTCCAACAAAATTAGAAAAACACATGCATATGTAATATATACATACATACACACATACATACATATATATTTTTTCAGGTCAGATGGTGGAGTCCAAGGCCATTATGGTACTGAGGTTCATGGGGCTCGTATAGTCAGTGGAGCCCGTCGTGATCATCTCTGCATAAATTCTATTAGCCTTTTTCAGATGGATGGAAGGCATCCCAAAACGCAAGCAGGTTTCTATTTGGGGTCAAATTGGACAGAAATGTGCAGAGACCTTGTCCATTGTAGGGTCCTTGCCCACAACATGCTACCTTCGATGTGGTAAACCCTGCAGTGAATGCACAACCACGCGTTAGAAAATGAGTGAACAATGTGTTTAATGTGTTTCAAATTTGGGATTTTGTAAGAATAAATAGATGCACGTGTTATAACATGAGTGAATCAATAACAATTTCGAATGTAATTTGTTTTTAGCTAGAAGTGCTTTATAGAAACATGTTGACATTTTTGTTAAAATCCTAATGTTGCTTGAAAAAGAACTTGAAGGAGTTTCCTTAAGAAGCATCATGCTTCACGAAGTACATAAAAAAAGCTGGTATAAAAAAAAGCTGAGAGCTATTTTTTGTGTTTGGTAAACATTCAGTTTCAACTTTTTTTCACGGTTTTGGATGAAAAAAAGCTAAAAACAAGAAGTTGCAAAACCCAGCTTTGAAAAACCGGTTTTTTTTCACATCTGTTTTACATAAAAGTTTACCAAACACTATAATACTGCTTTTTTTTTTTTTCAAAAACACTTTTACAAAAAAGTTTACCAAACACTCTACTGCTTTATTTCACAGCTGCTTATTCTCACAGCACAGCAGAAACAACTTTTTTTCAAAGCACAGTAATACCAAACCAGCCCTACGTGTGTTTCTTTCTTCCATAAGCACTTTCAACTTTTGCAATCGGAAGAATTTTTTGGTTATCAAAAAACACTTTTAGTCATTTCAAAAGTAGTCAACATATCATCTTTTAAAGACAAAAACCAATTAAATTCATGAATTATTACCAAATGCTTGGGGGTTGCTGATGAAAACTGCATGCATTTGCCTTGTGTTGGTCAGGATCGACCAATAGAAAATGAGCATGCTTATTCTTGACCTAATCGGTTTTATTAAGTAATAATTCAATCACTAACTAGCTGAAGAGGCTGCAACCATTGATACGCTTGATTATGTGATTTGACCAGGATCGATATATATTGCAGTGTAAACTGTAAACTGAGAATTCATATGAAGCAAACTATATAGGGCATGCGCAATACGTGCATGGAGTTAATTTTGTCAGCTAGGCTTTTATTAACCCTGAGCAACTTCGTAGTGGTTAGTTTTAAGTGGGAGGTACGTCTGAGGAGAGGAAAGAAGTCTCTTTTCAAACCAGTTATCACTTAATGAGGGTGGGATTCAGAGTCAACCCACTTAAAAGAGTTTAGAGAGGCAACATCATCATCAATATCGAAGTCCGTCTTCCATGCCTTGACTTCGAAGAAAATGAGAAGAGTACTCGGGCGATCAATATTGTTCTCTCCACCTAGCTAGAAGAGAAATGTAGGCACAAACATTAGAAAACATACTCTAGTCTTTAGTTTGCCTCTTCTTCATATCTTTAATATCTCTTAATTGATGGTTCGTTTGAAACTACTTATTTATAAAGAAGTTATGCTTAGAAGAATTGAAGTGATTTTTTGAACCTAGAAGCATTTTAATTTTTTTTCTACTAAATATGTTCAGAATCTATTTTACTAATTTAAAATAACTTTTAGTTATTTTAAAAACAATTCCAAACAGATCCTAAAACAAAAAACTTATTCACAAACATCATTATTTTGTTGTAAAACTATTGAAAATTAATCAGGGGAATGTTAATTGGACGGATATTTGATTGTATTAGGTAGGATATAATAAAGGATTTGGATCCTCTTTGGATTCCCTCCTTGGAGATTCCGGAGATCAATGCACAAGAACCGTTCATCAAAAATCGTGCGGTCACAATTAAATATTTTTTACTCAAAACGAGACTGTTTTACTTTTAAAAATATAAAAAATATATTTAATTGTGATCGCACAATATTTGATGAACAGTCATTATGCATTGATCTCCGAGACCCCAAGAAGAGAATTCGAAGAGGATTCAAATCCTATAATAAAGATATGAAATGCTCGAAACGTGGCGCTCCAACAAGAAGTATGTGACATGCATTAAATTGGTTGGCCATGGCAGTGAAGCAAGTGGTCCTAAAAAGCTAGCTAGAGCAACCAGCGCAAATTTCTCGGGAAACTGGAAAGTCTTGCAGCTTGGAAGAGAAAAAGTTTAACCTAGCTTAATTATTCAATGACATACACTTTTGCGTAGTCAAAGTTTGTTACAACAACATTTTTCGTAAAAAAATTATTATTAAGGAGAGAGAGAAAGTTCGAAACTATTACAATAATTTAAAGTATAAAAAAATTTAAACTCGGGATACATGAGTGAAAACTCAACGCACTATAGTATTTATTAGGATATTAGACCACTTACAGAAGAGGAGAAGGGAATACTTCTCCTTTTTCATAATTTAGATTACGCTAATTAGAATGTCACTCGAGTATAACGAAAAAAATATTCTCCACCAACTCTTAAATTACACTCACAAAAACGAACTTTTAAGTGGTATTCTAGAAAGAGAGTAGACAAATCACACCCATGTAACACGAAGAAATGGTCGTGCCCAAAGGTTATGTTCAATAGCTATAATAAACCAAGATCAGCAAATTTTGATCAAGCTAAACCCAATGAACAAAAAGACTGAATGGAAATTAAAGGTGATTGCACATAACTTGGAAAGTTTGACATTGTTACCTTGGGAAAAATCTTTCCCATCAACCATTACAAGAACTACAAAGCAATTGGGAAGCTCCAATCAGTTTTTAATCACTAGACTTCCCAGCACGGACACAAACATCAATGGCAGCTATTACTCGCATTTAACACAGATCATGATCTAGTACATATAAATATAGTTTCAAATGGAAAGACAGATAAACATATGTCTTAGGTCCTGGAATCCAAAGCCAAGATGGTGCTGAGGTTCATGGGGTACATGTACTTTTCATCCCCTTTCAAAATATTCTGAACGATCAGTTTGTTCGCCTTTTCAGATGGATGAAATGCATCCCAGAAAGCGTATTGGTTGCGGTTCGGGCACAAGTTTGAGGCCACCGTGCACAGCCCCAAGCCATTGTAAGGTCCTTGCCCACAGCATGCAATCTTTGACGTAGAAAATCCTACACAATAAAAATTAAAACAAACAATGTTATGTCACCAACACTACAAAAGGGTATAGTAAGCGACAAAATGCTTGGTGGGGTTGAAAATAAGCGTAGATCTGGAGATTTCCGAATATGTAAATCTTTCAAACTAATGCTTAATCCATGATCATGATACTACACCATGGACATAAGATTGATATATGTGTGTGTATAATTTATTTACCAAAAGCTTGAGGGTTGCTGACGAAGTCATTGTGGGTCTGCTGAGTGTTTGCAGCAATGAAGACATCCGAACCGAGTTGGCTGTTGACTGATCTCAGCATCTGAATGAGTTGGGGGTTGTACAGAGACGCAGCTCGTTGCAGCTCCGCTGAGCATTCTCCGTTCCTGCTTCTCATGGCCAATTCGGCCGGCACACAGCCTAGTGGTCCTGTCCCCGTCACCAAAACCCTTCGTGC